AGGATTTTCTTGAGTTATAGAAAAGAAAAAGAGTATAATCTGTTAGAAAAAGGGAAACATACAGGAAATAATCAAAGAGGTCAGCTTATAGGTCACACGACAGTTTTCCTATAACCTTTGTAGGTATTTCCACCAAACTAGCTGTTAATGTTCCTTTAGTACTTGCTTGATTTTAAGTCCACATTTTATGTTCCCATGTCCTTTTGCTGGCAACCAATCCCAAGCTACTTACTGACGAAGGATGTGCTTCCAAGGTATCCCCTGCATGTGAGGGTCGAAGAACATGGAGTCTTCATCCACAATTCTTTTTCCAAAGAAATCCAAGCCCACTTTAGAGGGAAAGGTTGGTTTGTTAGTTTGTTAGTTTGTTTCCTCCTGTAATGGTTAGGAAGCCTATCTGGTGATAACTGGACAAGGCTTTGTTTGATCTATGAGTATAGCAAAATAACATTAAGAGTCATTTTGTTGTTTTCTGTTTGTTTTGCTGTTGTTGTTTTGATTTGTTTGTTTGGTTCCATCCTGGATCCCTGGGCTGTGCAGTCTCCAGTTCCTAGCCATCCAGACAGTGTAGGTAGAGCATGACTCCCTCCTGTGGAGTGGGCCTCAAGTTAAATCAAATACTGGTTGGCAACTCCCACAAGTTCTATGCCAACCAACTTGCCCCAGCACATTTTGCAGGCAGGACAGGTTGTAGGTTCCGGGTTTTGTGGCTGGGTTGGTGACCAGGTTTCTATTTCCATAGCCTGCAGAGTATCTTCCTGAACCAGAAGGTAGGGGTGAGAGCTGCATGCAGCACCAGCCCAACCTCTCTACAAGTGGAAGTTGTCTTCTGTGGCATGGCCAGCTGTCAGTTTTCAGACAGACCTTCTGTCCTAGCATTAGCCTGGGTTGTTTAGGAATCTCCACAGGGCCTCTTGGCCACAGCTCAACCAAATGCAACCCAGTCCCAACACTGGAAGCTTTGCCTGGCTACAAATGATGGCCAGTTCAGATTCTGTATCCTCCATTACTAGGAGCCCCCACTGGGGTCAGCCTCTCAGATTCCAGGAAGTTTCCACTATGCCATGTTTCTGCGCCACCCCTTCAAATGCCTCTCCATTCTGTTTCCCCATACTCTACTCCTCCATCCCTTCCTACCCCTCATAACCTGACCTCTCACAATCCCATTCCCGCCTGCCAGCAGTCCATCAGCAAAGTCTATTCTATTTCCCCTTCCTGGGGAGATCCATGCTTCAACCCTAGAGCCCTCCTCTTTACCTCCTCTCTAGGCCTGTGCATTGTAGCTTGGTTGTCATTTATTTAATAGCTAATACCACTTATAAGTGAATACATACTATATTTGTCTTTCTGGGTCTAGGCTACCTCACTCAGGATGAATTTTTGTTTTAGTGCCATCCATTTGCCTACAAATTTCATGATGTTACTTTTGAACATATGAATAATACTCCATTGTGTAAATGTACTACATTTTCTTTATCCTTTCTTCAGTTGAGGGACATCTAGGTTGCTTTTTCTGGCCATTAGAAATAAAGCCACAATGAGCTTCCTTTGAAATTGACCTTAAGTGTAGAATACACTTGCTGCCATGCTTAGTTCTAGCTATTGTTCTGAAGTAGTGTTTTCTAATTAATAACTGTTTAAAACTTAATTACTTGATTGTATATAATTGTTTTAGTCCAGAGGTTATAACTTGCTTAAGGACATGTCGTTTTCTGAGCTTTACAGACACCTACCAACAAATCTAGGCAAGGTCTGCACAGAGGGATCTAATTATTATTGTTGATAATTAATAATACTTGTTCTAAGAACCCACTACATTTTGACAGCACTGTTAGCTACCAGAACTTTCCAAAGTCATTTTGCCTTTATTTTTACAATCTCTTGAGAAGGCAGACTGAGAATATGCTATCTTCTAGGTGGTTTTGAGACAAGGTCTCACTATATAGCTCTGTGCACACCTTGGGTCTGTTCATGGATGCTTGGCTGGGATTGGTACCAAGAACGGAGCTGAAATACACCCTCTTTCTCTTGTAGGAGTTGGCTTCTGCGATTTGTAGCCCAAGGCCTCCTATGAATTGGTATGTCAGGAAGTTTCCGTATCCGGCTGTAAAGAAGAGGCTGTGAGAAGCACTTGGCCCTGTGAGCCTGAGGCCCTCAGGAGGCAGCCCCTCCCCCTCTTGCACCCTCGAAGCACCTGCCATCTTCTGCTCACACAGAGGCCTGTGTGTTACACTCTGTCTTCCCCAGCAGACTGCTGGCTCCACTCTGACAGGGACCTTAGCAACTTGATTGCAATGACTGCCTTTGCTGCTTGAAGAGACCCTGTAACATGGCTTACTCGGCAAATCCAGGACTCCCCAGACCACCCAGCCCCTGATGCCAGCAGAGCACAGCTTCCAGAAGAAACAAAAGCAGGAAATTGGCATCCTGTCCCAGCTGTGGCTCGTTCTAGTATTCCATAGAACACAGCCTTCCTGATGTGTGGGTTGTCCACCTCATACTGTGTTGACAACTGGTAATGTGATCATTATCAGAATGATACTCAGATGATAGCCACTATTATTATTATCCCATGGCTTTATCAAACAGAGTTGAAGCCATCTGCTCATCTGTATATGTCCCCATACATGAAAAGCTCCTGGAGAATAGTGGTGGCTGCACCTTATTCCCCTCTTTGGAAAGGTGATAACCTCCATAGTGGCTGAGCAAGTAGCCGCATTCCTGCTTCATTCCATAACAGTGCCACATTCTCCTTTCAAACCTCCTCTACCGTAGAGATCACTCACCCTCCTTGCAGTTTTGCTTCCAGCACGTGGCCTAGGGTATGTTTCTAAATATTGGACAGTCACTCTTGGCTACCAAATTATACGAGCGCACCTGGGGGGGTGCATCTGTATGGATCACGCATGCGTGTACAGGGTGCACACATGAGTGGAGGCCAGCGCTTGACATCAGGCATCTTCCCCCATCTATCTGCACTTTATCTTTTGAGGGAGTCTCTCTCACCCAACATGGAGTTTATCAATTCAGTTAGACTGCCTGAACAGCAAGTTCCAGGGATTGTCTCGTCCTCCGCCTCCCACCTCCAGCACTGGGGAAACTTTGCACGTGGTACCTGGCTTTGCCACGTGTGCTATGGACCTGGACACAGCCTCCTGCGTCTCTGCAGGTGCTTTACACTGAGCCACACCACTGAGCTCCGCCTTTCTTTCACAGATTGACAAGACAAAACTAGCTCTCCCTGAGAAATTATCTTCATGCTTTCCCATTGAGGGTTATCATCCATAAACTTTCAGATAAACTGACAAGGGGGCACCAAAATCGTACAAGCACCTATAATCTCAACTTTTCACCAGACCTGGTATCCTCAACAGGGATTATATTGTTATATTTGATTTCACATTCTCAACTACAGATTTGAAATGTCTTAAATTGACTATACAATTTTATTTTTTATTGAAAAAAAGGTTACCTGGACATGGTGGTGCACACCTTTAATCCAAGCATTCAAAAGGCATAGGCAGGCAGATCTCTGTGAATTTGAGGCCTATCTGGTCTATGTAAGGAGTTTCAGGATAGTCAGGGCTATGGAGAGAGACCCTGTCTCAAAGAAAATTAAATAAAGGAGCTAGAGAGGTGGTTCAGCAGTAAAGAGCACTGACTGCTCTTCCAGAGGACCCAGGTTCAGTTCCCAGAACCTACATGGCAGCTCACAACTGTCTGTAACTCCAGTTCCAGGGGATCTGACACCCTTACACAAACAAAACACCAATGTACATAAGATTAAAAAAATTAAATTTCCCACAAACACTGACAAACCTTTGTACCTCAGGACCTTTGTTTATGCTGTCTCTTCTTCCATCCCTCCCCAACCCTGCTCTAAAGAATCAAACAAAGAAACATACTCCACACTTCACAAAAAAAAAGGAGACTTGATTTAGTCTCAGTGAGCCTTCATTGCTGTGACTGATTCTGGATGTTTTACACATTACTGAGTTGCTGCTTTGATTGCTGTTAGTGAGTTTCTTCCTAAGTTACTCACTCCTACTTCCTGACAGAACTCTAGTTAAGGCCCCAACTCTCAGCTTTCATTATCATGGATCTAACTGTCTGGAAAATTACTAAGAATTCTCTTACAATCAAGTCACTAAAAAGGCTGGAAGCAATGTTCAGCTGGTAAGATGACTGTAGAGTTTTGGGAAGCTATGGTCTGGGCCCACAGCACTGAGTAAAAGCAGGTGTGGTGGTCCATGCCATAATCCCAGAACTTGGGAGATGGAGGCAAGAGGGTCAGAAGTTCAAACTCATACTCACCTACTCAGAGTTAGAAGCCAACCTGGACTGAACTGTGAGACACTGTCTCAGATAGATAGATAGATAGATAGATAGATAGATAGATAGATAGATAGATAGATAGACAGACAGACAGACCACTCAATGACAGCAGCAGAAATTGGAACTTTCATAATATATTCTCTCAGTGATATTTATTGAGGACTTTTTATGTACCAAGCATTATTGCACTCATTAATGAACAGCAACCCAAGCCTCCCCAAAGCTCATGTTCTAGTATGTTCTATGTAAACAGTGAGCTTTCTAGGAGCTGTAATTGTTTCTCACTGATCTTTAAATTCCCAGCATTTAACCAATCAGAGGCCATGGGTTAATATATGCTAAAATAAATCCACTAGGGGTGCTCTACTTTCATCCCTCCTTTGTACTTGTAGACAGTATGCTGCCTTTTTGCAGTGGAACTCAAGGCCTGGCACATGTTTAGCAGTTGCTCTACCACTGAGCCACACCACCACCCTTTCTTCCTGCTTCCCTCTCAATATAGTTAACTTCTGATACTCTTTTAGCTGGGAACAATGTTCATAAATATCTTTTGAAGACATTTAAAAGAAGCAATAACTAGGTTATCTATTTTTGTCAACAACAGAAACCACTTTGAAGGGAAAGCATCCTTCTGGATTTATGTTTTTTTCCTGACTTTTCTTCAGGCATTGAAACCAAAGAGGAGACTGCAGAAGAAAATAAAGACTTTAGAGGAGTGGGTCCTAAGCGGGTCTGGTTCGATCCTGGCCAGTCTATAGCCACATGGAAAGTGGGACTTAAACCTGACATCAAGTATGAGTCCTCAGAAACTTTCCAAATCCTCCTATCAGAACCTGACATGGCTGTGCTGGAGTTTCCAGAGACAGCAACAGTTGAAATTGTGGATCCTGGAGATGGTATGTCACATACTATTTAATAAAGGGAGAGGGGAACCCTGAACTCAATTGTCCTGCTTTCCACTTAGTAGTAAATAGTTCACCACCCTTGTCATACTTGACATAGTTGATCCTGTTGGAAACGAAGGGAACAATGGCTGTACACTTCTGCACAGGTCTGTTAAAACACCAGGGACCAAGTTTAAATCCAACTGAAACACCTTCTTCCATCTTTTCTAGAATCAACAGTTTACATTCCAGAAGCAAAATACAAACTAGCAGAGGCTATTGGGGAGTTTCTGGTTCCTGTAAGATGGTCTGGAGACACAAGCCAGGAGCTCACAGTCATTTGCTCTACACATCCAGGTCTGAGATTCCATGGGGCATTTGGGAACGGGGCTGTCAGAATGGGGTTTGGTGTGATGCTGGGAGTGTTGAAGGTGTGGGAGAAGCAGAGAGCAGGGCTTTGGACACCAGGCTCAACCATCGCTGATGGGTTGTGGTTTCCCTCCTTTGCTGACTCTGCCCTCAGCTAGCTGTTGTCAGTCAAGCAGAGATAAATGTCCTCACTGCTGGAACAAGAAGGCTTGCTCTTAGTGCTGCCCTGAGTTTTATGAAAGTCCAGTGAAACATTGGTGAACAGTTTCTATGAACTGACAGGGAATATAAGCAAGGCATTCCCCCCTTTAAGGGTCTGATGGCTTCCAAGCAGCACTGTCAAAATAGTCTGAGCCACTCTCTCGATCTTTGTCCTTTCATCTGACAATGACAAGGAGTCTTCTACCTCAAGCTCGGCTGTCCTTACACCACCAGCTCTGCCCCCATTCTCCTTGGCTTCTCCAAATCTACTGAGAGAAGATTTAACTCACCTGCATCTTACCATTAGGCACATGCTCCTAACTGATTAGGAAATGGAATAGGAAAACCACTCAAATGAGAAAGGGTGTTTGTTCAGTTCTGGCTAGAGCAAGGAAGTCTGCCTCATGTATTTGGCAAAGACTCAGGCAGGCAGAAGAACAGGAAAACTCAGCAGTGTCCAGTAAGGAGAAGGTGTCAGGTGTGACCTGACTCAAGGCTGAAGGTGTGGGAAACTGGGGATAAGAAATTCGGTGTCACAGTGATTTACTAAGAGCGTACTTAGATTTTACTGGTTGTTCCTAATCAAGAAGGGATAAAAAGTATGGAAGCTGAAAGTTCTGGGCCAAGTCCTCATCATTTGTCCTGACTACTGCAGCTATCTGGGCTCACTGCTACAGATAGAGGTCGCTGTTCTGGGACTTGGGGGGTATTTGTTTATTTATTGGGGGGTTAGTATACATGTGTGTTTGTGAGTGATTGCATGCACCCATGGACACATGGAAGCCAAAAAAAAAAAAAAAAATGATATCAAGTATCCTGCTCTATCAGTTGCCACCTGGTTCACTTGTTGAAAGGAGGTAAACCAGCAAGCCCCAGCGGTGCTTCTGATCTCCACAGTGATAAGATTGTATGTATCAAAGATTATGCTGAGGTTTGGGGGGGGTTGTTTGTCTGTTTTTTAATGTTTGGGTTCTGGGATTTGAACTCAAGTCCTCACGCTTGTGCAGCAAGCACTCTTAGCCACCTCCCCAGCCTCATTATTCTGGTTACATGCTTAAGTTCCTGTCCAGTCACACAGCATGTCTCCAATCCCACCCCCACCCCTGGTCTGCTGATATACTGACAGTAGAGACTTAAGTCTTCCAAATCCCTCTACAAAAACCATCTTCATGCTTTGTTTTAATATAAAACCTCCTCCTCTTTTTCCTGAAAGTAGTGATGAGGCACATTCCTGCCAGGAATCCGGGGTGTGTTGTTCCTTTCCTCACTGTGTGTCAGGATACTGACAAAAAACAACCCCAGGAAGGAAGAGTTTGTTTGGGCTCTCAGTTCCAGGGTAAAGTCCGTGGTGGTGAGGAAGGTGTGGAGGCAGGAGCATGACTCAGAGAGCGTCAGAGAGCGGAGAGAACATTGGTGTTCACTTCATTTTCTCCTTCTTATGGAGTCCAGCGCCCCTGCCTGCAGGGCACCCCTACGTGTGCAGTATGTCTTCCTACTTCAATAACTTATTCTAATCTGTCACAGAAATGCCAAGAGTTATTTCCAGTGTTTCTAAATCCAGTCAAGATCAGATATCACAGGCAAACAGTGTGAGGCAAATGGAAACCCCCATGGAGTGGCCTTGAGAGAATCTCACCAAACCCTAACATAAAGCTAACGGCCTCCTTCACTCACCCATAGCCACAGTCTGGACTTGGTTTAACAATTAACAGTGAATAAAACCAGCATGGACTGCAGGTCCAGTTGAATGCTTGAATGGAGAGTAGACACACGTCTTACTAATATCCCAAGAGTACAGGAAGTGAGGGCGAGGGTCACAGTGGCCTTTCTTCTGAGACTTGATGGTTCCCACAGATTCGCAAGGGTGGGGTGCTTTCAGGCACCCCGAGTACTCGTGTATGAGGGAGGGCCTCTCACGTGCTGTGAACTTCCTTGTCTTAGCCACAAGCAGAGTCCAGACTCACATGCAGGCATTCTGTGTTGCAATGACTGTGAGTTTCTGGGAACAACCCCTTTCAGATGTGGAAAGTGAATGGGAAGTCTGTGAAAGGCTCCATGCTCAGGGAGGCTGCTCCCGGTTCCCCACCCCTGCCAGCAGACTCACAAAACAGGCATCCTCCGCCTCCCAGTTCTCTTCCAGAGGCAGAGGGATGGGCGGACCCTAAGTAGACACTTCCTGCTTAGCAGTTACCTGTGCTCTATCAGACTGCCCCAGTTCCGCCCATTGCACTGCATTCTCCGAGGCCCTCTGATTGTGGACAGAGTGGACTGGAAGAAGGACGGCTGGGGGTCCACATAGGCGAGTGCATTTGTTACAGCCCAGTCATTCGATTGCTCATGGACAGGCTGGGCTCTTGGGAATTGAGTACATACCCCTGTAATTAGCTGGCAAAGAGGAGTGCTTCTGCCCACCTTACTTCCTCTTTACTTTCCAAGTCCCAGAAAGGAGCAAATCAGGGCTGGAAAGGAGACACAAAGGGTAAAGTCATTTGCCATGCAAGCCTGACAGCCCGAGTCTGATCCCCAGAACCCATGTCACCATATAAGGAGAAAACTAATTCCGAAAATTGTCCTCTGATCTCCACATGTGCTGGGCCCACCAAGCATACATACTGTGCCCACACACAATAATAATAACGGATTAAAAAAATTAAGAGTACATTTAAAAAATTACATGAATCTGGCTATATCTGGTGTTTTCAAAATAGAACATTTTTATGTATTCCCATGCCTGAGGGGTGTGTGTGTGTGTGTGTGTGTGTGTGTGTGTGTGTGTGTGTGTGTGTGTTACATGCTTGCAAATATGCAGGTACATGCCATGTGTGTGCATGCAGAATGCAGAAGCCAGAACAGGGCATCACGTGTTGTCCTTCACCACTTGCCACCTGGTCTCTCACCGAACCTGAAGTTCACCATCTCAGCAAGGCTGACTGGTCACCAAGCTCTTAGGATCCACCTTAGAATGTCCCCCACCTTCTGGAGTCACAAGCATACACTGCCATGCTTGGCCTTCTCTATGGGTCCTGACGATTCACACTGTTACCCACTGAGCTGTCTTCCTAATCCTTCCAGAAGGAATCTTAAAGAATGGGTCAAAGACTGTCAGTCTCTTGACATCCAGCCAAACACAAAAACATGAAAATCTTCAAGATATGTCTTAAGTCCTTGTCTGCTTGCTTGATTCTGAACACCTTAAGATAAAAGATATGTGTATGGTCCAATCCTCTGTCCTCAGGGTCATGTAAGAATTTATTACTTGTAGGATATTATGCAAATAGCCTTGGCCTCTAGACTTTTGAGTCCAGGAGCATCCCATCTCCAGCTGACTCTCTAAAATATCACCAGACATTAACAAATATCCCCTGGGAGGTACAACCAGCCCAACCAACATTTATTACTCTATAGTCTATGCTGCAACATTTTTTAGCTTAATGATATTTTGTATAAAGACTTGCTAATTAGATAGTTCTTGGCCTGAAAATTGAATGTCAGAACATTTTAATGATTAGCTTTATGCAGTTGAATAAGACCCTATAATTAAAAACACACAGTGGACCTGGCCCCACTTCTCTGATTGGCCTTTCTTCTCTGTGTCACATTGAATGGTGGGTAGAGTTTTCCTTCTAGTACCTTTGGTAGGGCTGGATTTGTGGATAGACTTTTTTTGTTTTTTGTTTTTTGTTTTTTTAATTCAACTGTATGATGGAATATCTTGGGTTTTTATCCAAGATGATAGAAAGTTTTGCCGGGAATTATACTCTTGGCCAGCATCTGTGGTCTCTTAGAGTCTGTAGCACATCTGTCTAGGCCTTTCTGACTTTTTGAGTCTCCATTGAGAGGTTAGGTATAATTCTAATAGGTCTTCCTTTATGAGTTACTTACTTGGTCTTTTTCTGTTGTAGCTTTTAATATTCTTTATTTGTTCTCTATGCTTAGTGTTTTGATTATTATGTGTTGAGGGGAGTTTCTTTTCTGATCCAATCCATTTGGTGTTCTATAGGCTTCTTGTACCTTTGTAAACATTTCCTTTTTTAGATTAAGAATTTTTTCTTCTCTGATTTTGCTAAAAAGCATTTTCTGGATCTTTGAACTGGGACACTTCTTCTATTCCTGTTATTCTTAGGTTTGGTCTTTTCATGGTGTCGCAGATTTCCTAGATGTTTTGTGTTTGAAATTTTTTAGATTTAACGTTTTCTTTGACCAATGTATTTATTTCTTCTATTTCTCTTCAAGGCCTGAGATTCTCTCTTCAGTCCCCTCTGTTCTGTTGGTGATGCTTGTGTCTGCAGCTCCTGTTCGCTTACTTTGATTTTCCATTTCCAGACTTCCCTCAGTTTGTGTTTTCTTTATTGCTTCTATTTCCATTTTCAGATCTTGAACAGTTTTGTTCATTTTATTCAACAATATGTTCCCCCCCCTTGGCTTTTATGATATTCTTTAAGAGATTTATTCAGGGTTTTTATCTTTGGTTTGCTCCGCTGCCACTTAAAGCCCAGACTTGAGGCAGTTCATGGCCGAGGTTCACCTTCGCCATGGCCCTTAGTTATGCAGATGTGCAGAAGCAAATTAAGCACATGGTGGCTTTAATCAAACAAGAAGCAGATGAAATGGATGCAAAGGCAGAAGAGTTCAATATTGAGAAAGGTCATCTTGTGCAAACCCAAAGACTGAAGATTAAAGAGTACTGTGAGAAGAAACAAAAGTAAAGTGAGCAGCAGAAGAAAATTCAAATGTCCAATCTGGTGAATCAAACAAAACTCCAAGTCCTCAGAGCAAGAAATGACCTC